TAGAAAGAAGCATCGAAAATTTTCAGGGAACACATATTCTTGATCGCCGTAAAATTCTCTATCGAATGGTGTCTGAAACATCGAAAAAAAAATTTTTTGCTCGAATTTTGCTTTGCGTGCACCTTACTTCAAAACGATTTTTATTTTCATATTTTTCCTTACTGAAAGCCTAGAAAATTCAATCGAAAGAAAAACAAGGAACGATGAACATCTTTTAGAGTTGGAACCGGGAGGGGTTGAAGCTGCCCAGCTCTGTTGCTTGCATTGTTTGATGTAAACTGAGAGATTTATCGTAGACTATTCCTTCAACTGGTATCAGGCAGGGACATTTCAGACATAAAAATCGATTTTTATATAAGCTGCCTTCACGGATCGAAGATGTTCTCTTGTCTTCTCTGCAAGTTCGATAATGAGGACGTTAACTAACACGTTTGAACTAATTTTTTGTTAAAGGATTCCATTCTTTATTATGGTGATTTTAGTTAAACAAGAGATGTGAAAATGAGATATTTTAGCTCACTGATAGACGCGCAATTGGAACAATGATTACCTCGATCACTGCTTCTCGCTATTATTGTCTATTCGTTCACTCATTTACAACCAGAACGACTCAGCGTTTAAAAGTTACTTTAATTTTTTATAGGGAGATGAACACATAATGACATAATGTATTATTTCATACAGAACCGAATATTCGACATATTTTTGAGAAATATATAGATTTCTTATCCGATAGTATTACGACGATAACATCTAAAAGGTTATTTATCGGGGTATTTGTATTAGAGGATTTTAATGCACAGTATATCAAATAGTGTGGAGATAAGCCGTCCATAGCAGAACGGGCCAAGCTTGGTTCTTTTATTGAGATTAGCGGTTTCTTTCAATTAGTTCATCGACCAACTAGACTAATATCAAAGACTTGCCTTGGTTTAGTTATAACGAATAAGATTAGCCTAATCCGAGATGTTAGCGTACTGCCATTATTATGTAACCTGAGATAATGCACCTAGAATAGTAAAATTACTTCCATAATTTCTACATAGAACGCCACTAGCACGAACAATATGGAACTATTCGGCGAGTGACTGAAATCATTACCGTCACTTACTTGTGAAAAATCTTAATACTTTTTCATATAAGTTTTGTAACATGAAGATCAAATAGCAGTGAGTTCAATTCAGAGAGTCAATTCCATAAAGCGCGATGAAGAAAAGTTGTTTAAAAAAATTTCTTCTACTTTCGGCGACCCAAAACGTTTTTCTATGAATAAGTTTCAGAAAAATGAGGCCCAGTTGCCAAAATTTTTTACTGACGGTCAAAAACACATTTCTTCATCTGACAAAGAGACATCCGACATGTTCAACAACTACTTTTCTTCGTGTTTTTCTTTAGCTAAGACTACAAACAGAGTGAATCAGACTACTAATACATCTTCTTCTACATCGCCGCCACTATCTCAACCTTTTCTTTCTACTATCAAAATGCAACTGAAAGACATCGAAGATGCTTTCTCTAGTACGAAAAACAAGCCTTCTGTAGGGCGAGATAATCTTTCGCTAAAAGTTCTAAAAATTTGCAAGCCTGTTATCGCTAAACATCTGAGAATTTTTCAATTGTCTATTGATTCTGGAATTTTTCCGGATCAGTGGAAACTCGCAACTATCCGACTCATACGTAAAAACGGGGACGTTTCTTCTATTTCTAACTACCGAGCTATTTCATTATTATGTGCAGTAAGTAAAATATTCGAAAAAATTGTTCACAAAAATCTTCTATCGTTTCTTTTATCAGACGACCATCTGTGTAGAGAGCAGTTCAGTCTTAGACCCAGGGAATCAACCGTCGATGCTCGTTTAAGCGTTTCTCACATTATTTACCACACTTTAAACAAAAAGGACACTGTATTTGATTTAGTTTTGATATGAGCAAAGCTTTTGATAAGGTGGATCACAGCATTCTACTTGAAAAATTAGCGAAGATCGGAATAACGAACAACCTTTTAGGGTGGTCTTCGTCGTACTTGAGCAACCGAACTCAGCCCGTTAAAATTGACAATATTCTTTCTGAAATAGTCAATATTTCTTCTGGCGTGCCCTAGGGGTCAATCCTAGGGCCCCTACTATTTATTATTTTCATCAATGATCTAAGTTCTGTTTGTAATTCCGCGTGTTTATACAGCCTTTTCACGGATGATCTGTTCGTTGTTATTCCATTTCTACGCTCAGATAATAAGCAGTTTATTGAGTCAGTAGTTCAAAATGAACTCTTGTGTTAAAGTGTGATCTACCGGACTTGAAGAAGAGACGACAACTTTTTCACTTAAAAGTCATTCTATTCGCAAAAGCCTATTTGGATGCGTCACTGTTTAGTATGACATACAATTTTACTTATAATACTCGTTTAACTCTTACAGCTACTGTGGAAATACCTTTTTCTGTTGTTCGTTCGTCCTTTTTCTGCAACACTCCTAGAGAGTAGAACTTGTTACCGAACGACTTAAAGTCTACACTAAACCTGAAAAAATTTAAAAATACCTTGATGAATCATCTCCAATTGTAATTTTATGCCTTCTTGTTGCTCTCAGCTGTTAGTCTAGTCGGTAGGACTTTTTCTGATTTATTGTTAGTTTTTCTTTTCTTTTTTCTTTTTTTCACTTTTGGTTTGTTGCTGCTTCTTTACTGTTATTGTGTGTTAATGGTCATACCGCAAGGTCTTTTAGTGTCTTGTATTAGTTCTTTACTTCGTTCGATCTTTGATCGAAATAAACCAAAACCAGAACCAGCATATATCCCTAACAACGTAATGTAAACAGATAATCGCAATCAACCATGATTCACAGATAACCTTCGTTTGTTAAAAATATTCGAAAAAATTAATTTTTTAAGTATGTCAGTTGTACAAGACCATAAACTTAAGAAAAATATAAGTGTGAACAATGACGGCTTGATATTGAATGCGTTAAGGCTAAAAGTAATTTTCAAAAAATACATAATATTAACACCGCAAGCAAACAGCGAATTTACAAGAAACTTGGAAATTCGATCTCCAGCATTCTGGAAATTTGACGTCGAATTTCTATAAATAATTCACAATATTCTTGAAATTTGAGGTCGACTTTCCAGTTCAATTTTCTTGAGTTATGAAAAATTGTCAGCGATTTTCAATCTAGAAATTTCTCGACGATTTTATATATGAGCTTTTGGGAATTCGAAAAATAGAATTCATTTCCAGCTATCTGGAAAATCGCGGAGGAATTTCCGGATTATTGCTTGTGTAACAAGCTAATGAAGCTACACTGCAAAAGACAACTTAAAATTTCAGACTTGTTATAATACATTAAAATTACATCCTAAGTTCTCATAACGCGATTTCGGATTAACTAACGTTCTTTAACATTACTTTCTGAGATTAAAAGCACGTTTATGGATTAAAATAACAGCATTGGAACGCATCGAAACATATCACCGGCAAAAAAATGAGGTTCATTTAGAGCTGAAGAAAAGTGTTTTTTCGTATTCAGCACACTTGATAACCTGGAAAATTCTCTATTTTTAGCGAGAGGTGCCGTCAAAAAGTTAAGAAAAATTTTCAAACTTGTATAATTTTGCCATGGAAATTTTTCTTAGCTTTTTGACGGCACCTCTCGCTAAAAATAGAGAATTTTCCAGGTTATCAAGTGTGCTGAATACGAAAAAGCACTTTTCTTTAACTCTAAAAAACTTGAATTTTTTTTATCGATGATTTGGATCAAAATATATGTCTTTTACGACTTATTGTTCCCATTTCTGTATGGACAAAACGTTTTACAACGCGTTCACAATTCGTCTAGAAAGTTTTCAAAACTTTCGCAGTATTGCGGTACGTGTGTGGATACAGAAATGACGTTTTAACAAACTTTGACAATAAACGTAACGTTAGTTAATGCCAAACACGCGTTAAGAGAATTTAGTGTGTTTTCAATGTATTGTAATATATCTAAAATGTTATACAATTTTGTTGACACGCTTAAGCGCGTTTGTTGTTTGCGTGCAGAAACAACGCGTTTTAAGCATTATGTAAGGCAAACAGTACGCGCTCCCTAACACGTTCACTAAAATGCATTTAGATGCGTTTGAGTCAAATAAAACGCGTTTTGGAAGTGCAGTTGAGCTTTAAATAATGACTTTAAAAGTCTTTATCATCTAAAATAAAAAACAGTATAAAAGACGGTAAATTTAAATTCAAATCCAAAGTGTAAGACTAAGTGCAAGAGTGAGTACTAAAACCTGGTGAAGATTCAAAACATCTGTAACGGCCAAGAATGTAATGAACTATAAACATCTACGAGCTTTAAATGGATGTGTTAGATCAACAATCTTTGTTGAAAGGGCTTCATGGGCCCTGGAAATTAGCTTACCTTTTTATTAAGTATTAGATCCCTAGCAGAATTTCAGCTTAATTTTATTCATAAAAAACTATTAACTTATGACTTACACATAATATGACTGGTCCACGTATATCGTATTATCTTTAAATTTCCAACTACCTTGAAAATCGGTATTGATTTTCAAGAAAACTGGAAAATCGATTTCGAATTTCAAGAATGTTGGGAATTATAGATGGAAAATCGATCGACTTTTTTTAGAATATTAGAAAATCAAATCCGAGTTTCCAGTATGTAGAAAATCAACATCGAATTTTCATGTTTTTGGAAATTCTATGCCGACTTTCCGAGTAAAATGAAAAGCAATTTATAGAAAATAGAAAACCACAAATTTCTAAAAGGCCAATGGAAGCATCATTCTATTTTAGGTGTGCTTCACAAGCATTTTCTTATCTGAATGTTGGTTGTATTTAAATTGGCAACCAGCGAAATCCCATATGTTTAGTACAAGGAAGTCAATATCTTAAGGAATGGAACATTCGGAAGATTTCAAAAATTGGCAATATAAGAATAATGATGTCCATGCAGCTCTAATAAGTCGATTGGAAGAGTCACATCAACAGTTTCCTGAACGCTTTCCAAAACCAGGTCATGTACTAGCTGCTGTTGGTGATATTATCGAAGGTCAATTTGCACAACGGTTGCAGCAGGAAAGCAAAGATCATACAAGGGAACGCATCACACTTATCCCATATAATTGCATTGAAGTTTTAACAGGATTCCAAGAGGACGGACAGATTAAACGGGCCGAATATATTGATCCAGTGAATGGACCTAGTGTTGTTACACTAAGAATAGAAAGTAGGCAATTTACTAAAGTTTACCCATCTGGTGTTTCATAGCCCAATTGAAGACAATAACAAAACAACTACATATTTGTCTGAAAAAAAACAATTAAACTAGTTGAGAAAGATGAAAACATTCTGACACCTCCTGCACCCATTCCAAAGGACGGTAACACATTAAAACTTCGCGAACTAGAACAGAGACTGAGCAGCGATTTGGCTAGATTGAAATTCGAGATGTGACAAAGTTTGTTGTAATAACAGAACGACTAAAGGAACAAATGCAAGAGTGTGAAGAGGATTAAAACACTGAAAGTGTCGAGAAGAAAAGGAAATGTGTGAGCGAATTGGAAGAGTTACAAAGCCTTTGGGGAAAATATGCAGTCTGAAATCAGTGCGCCTATTGGTAAGAACGATAACGACTCGAACCTTTGCACGCTCCAACCGAAACTGAGCAGCGATTTGGCAAGACTGAAAATCCAAGATGTAACAAAGTTGCCGGCAAAAATCCAATGAGTAAAGGAACGAATGCAAGCGTATGAGGAGGATGAAAACGTTGAGGATGCCGAGAAAGAAAGGAAATGTCTGAGCGAACTGGAAGGGTTAAAAAGACTTTGGGAAAAACTATGCAGTCTGAAATTCGGTGACTGGTCGACCGTAGACTCGAGAGTTTAATTTCAGTTTACATCGATGCGCACGGCAGCCTAGAAAAAGGTTCGGTGCGGAACTACTGTATTTCCCCGGAAGATACCGTCCGAGTTATAAAGGGCTTAAGATCAACAAGTCCTCATCGGACAAAATCAGAAAACCCGCATTACTTTGTCTTTGCAATAGTCCTTTTAATCAAATGATACGTGAAATAAATGCAGCATTGTATATTCAAAAAGGAAAATCTTTTTCCTTGAGTACGCGGCAAAAAGAAATAGTGAGTCCGGTCTTCAACAAGAACGCCAGAAAACGATTAGTTCAACGGTCGTTAACAAACGGATTGTCAAAGAACGCGTTGTTCTAAAGCTTTGAAAGACAAAAAACGCGATTGAACGGCTCTTTTAACGATCGTTCGCTAACGCATTTTTCTTGCCGTTTCTAACGATTTTTTCTTGAAATTAAAATTTTTCGTTATTTCGAACTGCTAAGTATTCGTTCTACTGCTCTCTATTAGTTTGTTATCGACTAATGTAATGTCAAGCGGATATGCGGAAGAATGGCGGGATAAAAGTTGATGGTTGAAACATCTGTTTTTATTTTTGAATGATTTCAAAACGCGTTAACTAACATTTTCATTGTTGTTCGCATTCATCAAAAAAATGCGTTCATTCTCTAACGAGTTATGAAATGCCCCAAAACGCCTTTTCGAACTAATAGATAAAAAAACGCGTTTAAACGACCACAGAACAGCGCTGGTTTTGAAACCTTTAAAGCATTTTTTGGTCGTTAAAGACGAAAAAAGAACGCGTTTTTTTGTCAATTTTTTTACTTCTAGGTCGTAATAATTTTCATAGCAGTCAGATGGCGAAGCTTATTCTTATTCCTATCAAGAATCCACCACTACCACTAAGACAACTACATCCAGGACCGAAAATTTTTCTTGTCATCAAATGTATATAAGCAGTTAGGTCAGTGACTAAAAGATAAAGTGCAGAAAGTAACTTCAATAATAGGCAGAACAGCAGATACATCAATTATCAATTGACCTTCTTCGTTTTTCTCTTGTTTCTCTGCCAAAGCGAATAACATGCAATGAAACTAACTGAAGTTTACTATAGCATTAAAATTTTCTTTTTATAAACATCACATACAATACGTTTGAAGTGCAGAGTGCTCTTCATAAAGCCAATTGGCCTCATGAGCGAAACGGAAAGAAAATCACAAATTCGGGGCCTTGAGCTCAAAACGATTTTAAATTTTTAACAACTATTTGCTCCGAACATAATTTTGACGGCTTCTCTTATCTGACGCTTTTTTATGCAAGAAAAAACACAGTTTGATCAATATAGCTGTTTTCAAAATTCCATTTATGAGCATGAAAATGGAAATTCTCTAAATATTTGAGACAATCATTTTATGCAGTTTCTTTGTACTAAACACGTTTATATAACGTGATATATACTGCTATGGGCGTCATCTATTTGCAGGAAAGCGTTTATAGATTTTTTGATTAAAGATATGGGAGCAGCATTCGTCCGGGCTACATGGGTCATTTTTGACTCATTCGGGATGAATGACATGAAAATTGGTTTTTTTCTGCAGGTATTTTGTTTATGATATAAGCTACATCATCGTTCTTCATTTGTCAAATTCTAAGCTTATCCAGAATTCTGAATATAAATTTAAGTTATCCTAAACCCTCCCTAAAAATACAATTTCGATATTTTCGGTAGTAAAGACCTCAAGTGTTTGTAATCAAATTAAGCCTATCACGAATCGTTTTTCTTCATTTTTCAGAACAATTCATGATAGGAACAATTTTCTAGTTCTATACAGACCAGATAAACATACAATTACAAAAAAATGCAATAAAAACCAAATCAGCAAAACATCAAATTTTCATTTCAATCAACTCGAATGGATCGTCAATGGTCCATTCTGCTCCTCCACAGTGAAAGAACTTCTCTCAAATTTAACCATATTGTTGTCATATTGAGCACCCACATAAGCTATTCCGGCGGTCAATTCAACACCAGATCTGCCGGATTAGCACCAGGGGGTAAAAGGTTAATAATTTAACAAAGAGGAATAGGTCAAAGAATTAAAGGAGAGAAAGAAAAAATACGTAAGAGAGAAAATCAAATAACTAGGATGTCTTATATACAGAGCACGTAATACGAAGACAGAATAACAAATAAAATAGAATTGAAATTGCCTTTACAATATACAACTGTTACTGTTAGAGCTTTAGCTTTCACTTGAAGGTAGATGTCCTCTACTAAACAAACATATTTTTCAAGTGAACTGAAAAGACTTCCGTCCAGCGTCTCCATTTCATCTTTCGCTACGAAACAAAAAATGTCCCCCGCGGGCTTCACCTCGTGTAGTTCTTGCCTCGTTATCGCCCCATCCCGCACCAAGTTTTCAAAAATTCTTCCTATTCCTATTTTCGATATTGTTTAATGGTGGTGGTTCTGATGCTGAAAAATCGGGACGTGCCATCAGTCTCGACGGATTAGTCGAACGGTTCACTACTGAAGGTTAAAAAAATAGGTCGCCAAAGCTGAAAACGCGCCAGAGAAAAAACACATAGAAGAAATCCTTGTAAAACAGAAAAAATGGTGAAGATCATACAAACGATGGAACAGCCATGGTAGGTAGTCATGTAAAGAAAAGTTTGAATTAGAGCAGCAACTTTATATTTGTTTTATTACACTTTATATTTACAACGTTATATTTGCTCAAAGTGTCTTTAGTTCCATTATATCGTACTTACTCTCTAACTAAAGCATACTTTCCTGATGTGATCTTATCAAGTTTCCAGGCCGAACAGTCGGACTGGTGCATGCCTAATTGATGATTGTCGATTGATAAAACTTGGTTGTTAATTATTGCAATGTATTCGAAGTGTTTAATTGTAATTCATTCATATTTAAACTGCGAATGTACTATTGACATTTATCACATGATGCTACAATACAAAGAACACACAAAGAACCAAGTTTAAATCTCAAGCAGTTGTATTCATCTAATATTAATTCATTGGCCAGTAATAAGTCGACAAAAGAGAGCATAAATACTAAAGAAATAAATCATAAATTAGCAACAAAATAAGAAAACAATGTGAACTATTATTGGGTGGAGAAAAACATAGCATAGAGAAGAATTACCTGCACTCCCCATACAGATGAAAATAGTCGTTCGAGGGGTGCGACGAGTACTGGCAAATAGGCATAGCCTCGGATCCTCGTCTAGCAGCATACTTACTACGCTGTGACGTACAATACAGCTTCTCCGACTAGCCCTTGTGGCTTTTCAGAAAGCTAGTACGTGGTTAGTGAAGCGTATATTAGGCGCAAGAACTCTGCGTCAAGCTAGCCTTCTGGCCAGAGCTGCAGTTGATAATTAGTAACGAGATGGGTGACAATTTCAGAAGCTTGTCAACAGATATCGGGCTATTGAAACTGCCACGGCAGCGCTCTGTACCGGTAAAGGAGGGATATTCTTCTTCCTTCCTGATCAATGCCAGCACTGATCAATATTTCGAGTACTGGTATTAATGGTACTAGTACTGTCGCATGCCCACCAGGATTGTCAGCAGAACTGTCATTACAAATAACTATCGATGACATAGATGCGTTTTATTCCGGGTTAAATATAACCCGTGATATAGATGTACTTCGTTCAACTGATTGTGACGAGTCTCTCGGTGATTTATTGAAGAAAAATTCGATGATATTTACATAAATTACGCTTATATTAATATATATGAACAAGGCTTTTTAGATATTTAGATAATTTAATCGATATTGACTGGTTCTCTAGAGCTTCTAGAGGTTTAGTGCGCATGTTAATTCTTCGTGAGACATTTAAGGCAAAAATTGCAACAATTTGCGTCAGTTTTTTGCCAAAATTCGTAGTAAAATATCTGTGTCTCAAGTAACATCACACACATGATGAATTTCTTCTGCGTCTTTTTGCAGTAAGAAACACATCGCTTTTCTGCAACTTTTTTTCGCGTTAAATGATGAATAAAATATTACTGCCTGAAGTTTTGCAGAAATTCACCATAAAATGATCAAAATGAATAAATAAATGTAAATCATTATAATAATTTTGAGATAAAGTTCGAAATATTTCTAAAGCTTTCATCTAATCACGATGCACCACAGTGGATTGTGTAGGGAACTGGAATCCAAGCTGATTACGGCTTTAAAAAAGCATGCGTAATATAACGCAAAAATGTTTTCTGCGATAAAAGACATAAAAAACATCGTTTCTGGCCTGTTTTTGCGTGAAAAACAACACGCAAGAAAACGCATATAAGAACCACGACTGATGTGTTTTTCTAAATTTTTAGTTCATTTTCATTTTTTGGTGAAAATCTCTATGATTTTTCAAGGTCAAAATTTCGAAAACATAAAAGTACTCCTATAGGATAGAGATACACATTAGTTGACTCAGTGTTCGATCCTGATTCCGAATATGATGTTTTTATTACATAGAACTTGAGTTCTGATTGAGAAAACTGAGAATTGGTCAGTTTTTTTAAACCAAAAATGATTTAAAACGGATTTTTCAAACAAAAAAGGCAAAAATTAAAAAAAGTGGCCTGTACAACCGATAGAGCTCGAAACGTTTCCATTTGTTCTCACATTAGGTAAATTTACTTTGTCTAATTAGTGACACTCCAGTGGATATCTTTAATCAAAAAATCTATAAACGCTTTCCTGCAAAATAGATGACGCCCATAGGAGTATATATCACGTTACAAAAGGTTTAAAAACGATATTTCTGATCATTTCTTAATTCCTAATTAATTCTGGCTAGAAAATTAAGAAATAGCGTTTTTAAACCTTTTGTATGGAATTATATCTACAAACAATTCTCTATAAAACTACATTACAATCAATTGAATGTAATATTTATATCGAAAACCGGCCAGGTTTTAAAAGATGCACTCAAACTAAAAATTCAAATTAATTTTGAACTTAATTAATTAATAACTCTTGTGAATGCTTGACCAACGAGTTTTTTTATTGCATAGGCATACCACTGAAGCTGTTCTCCACAAACTGATCAAGTTTGAGGGCATGTTCGGAGGAGGACCCACCCCCTTAAATGATGACAGGCAAATATATCTTTTTGTAGCTTTGTCAGCGGTGTGTTTTCATTTTGTTAAAAGAAAGGCAGATCAAAAAGGAATCGTCGAAGAAAACGAGGTTCCGATTCCATCGTGAGAATTAGTACCACGCTTCCGATTCCCGCGATTCCGTGTTCCTGATGCGGACGAAACCGAACCGCAGTTCCGACTCTTCACGAGAATCGAGTACCAAACATCCCTAATCATATACTTGAAGAAAATTCCGAGTAAACCAGGATGAAATAATTGCTGAAAAAAAGAATTTCAATAAATGGGAAACGCGTGGTGAATTGTGACTTTCTTGTAGCACGCGTTCTTCCGCACGTGTATTCATGCGTCGATCTTTGCATGAATAATAATTCCGTTTTTAAAGAAAATTACCTAATAATCATACCTCTCTTTCTGAAGCCGTTTCTGCAGTCACGCGTGCACTTACTTTTATTTAGTACAGAAAATGATCTCTCCAATGTGTTTTACACTTATTCCACGCGCTGGGACATGTTGAATTTAATTCTAATATTTTTGACTCAAGAAATAGTCTGATTTCTAAATTAAATTGATCCAATCAATAATTAAAGGGATAATCCCTTCTTGTATCATTTCGAACAACTAGTCACTTTTTATTATTTTTTTCTCGCTTTTGTATTTTTCTAACATCAATAGAAAAGAGGCAGGACATTTTAATTCATTCAACAATGTTTTTCTCACAACAACATCAAGGAAAGGCACCTTCATTAACAGGATTAACGAAAAGTGTTTCTTTTTTGTACTTGTGCCAGTTAGGGGTGGCACTTTCCCGTTCCTTTCGTGAGTAACGATAAAGTGATATCTTTTATTTCAGAAGTAAAGAGTAAAGATATAATGCATATGTCGCAGGAGAAATTAAAATTCAGGAAAATTTAAAATTTTATTTTCTCTTAGGCGAAATTAAAATTGTAACTTTTCCTTGAAAAAATCTAGGAAAAGATGAAATTTTACTTTGTCCTAGACCAAATTAAAATTTTAACTTTTCCTTAGAGAAATTTTAAATTTTCCTAAACAAAAATGTTAAGGCTTTGCAGACGTATACCTGTTATATTTTAGTAAATTTACATGAACCGGAGATTGATGAAAAATCTGATGAATCCAATTCAAGTAGTATCAAAGATCTGCAAAGTAGAGCGATGCTAATAGTCTAACAAATGTTTTAAAAGCAACAGATCCAACACCTCAAGCATTAGATTTAAGTTTAGCAGTACCATCCTCGCCAGTACTGACTCTAACGCCTAAATCCAAAAATCGACGAAGAGCAAGAATTTTTTCAAATATCTCAAGTCCAGTTTCACGTCATTCAGTTTCTGAACAAAATGAGCATATCAGTGAAGGTAAAATAGAGTGTAGCATCCTGATAGAAACTCTTCTGATATATTTCTTCAGGTGACGAATCTATGAGTCATAGCAGTCATTCAATAAGTGGTCACAAGCATATACGAGCTCAAGCGGAAGCCGCTTACATGGCCACCATTGCTAAGCGACAAAAACTGTTCGATAAAGTCGATAGGACCAATGTCACACCGAAAGTTCTTCCATGTGAAATAATCTCAGTTCAATCGTCTTCGAATGGTATGGAAATGTATCAGCTATGTACTACAAAAGCAATACTCGACAAACGATTTCAAGGATTAGATTTATTGGATTTAACCAAATGTGACTTCCGTGATTTGCGCGATATCGACTCGACAGCATTACCAACGACTACCTTCATTCAAGCTAGTAAAGATTATGCCAGCGCAGGATTAATGACACCTGTCGAAGCATGTAATTGCAATGGCAACTGTGCAACTAAGAAATGTTCCTGTCGAGCAGCAAAAGCACAGTGCGGTACAAAATGTCATCCCATTAAAAAAAAACCATGTTCAAATGCTTAGTTCTCATCTTACTTTTCACTTCCATTTTGTAGATAATTTCTACATTTCATGTTTATCTATAGACAAAAATAAACTACAGACCGAATAGTTGAGAAAAAAAGTGCATAACTTTTGCCTCCTTCTTTCTCCCCGTCTAGTCAGTCTGACATCAAAAGAAATTTCAATTTTTCCTATAGGAATAATTAGAATATTAACTTTAACATTTTTGTTTAGGAAAATTTAAAATTTCTCTAAGGAAAAGTTGAAATTTTAATTTGGTCTAGGACAAAGTAAAATTTTATCTTTTCCTAGATTTTTTCAAGGAAAAGTTACAATTTTAATTTCGCCCAGGAGAAAATTAAATTTTAAATTTTCCTGAATTTTAATTTCTCCTGCGACACATATATTTTCTTTCCTAAGAAAAAGGAAAGCGGCACCTTTTCTTTTCCACAAGAAAGAAATATGATATCTTTTCTTTTTGCAAGAAAAAGACTTTCTTAAAAGGTGCACAAAAAAGTCTTTTTCTTGAAAAAAGAAAAGATATCGCATTTCTTTCTTTTGGAAAAGAAAAGGTGCCGCTTTCCTTTTTCTTAGGAAAGAAAATATATGCATTATATCTTTACTCTTTTTTGTTGTAAAGAAAAAGAAAAAGTTTTCTTTTGTTAATAAAAAAAGGAGGTAGGAAAGAGAAAGTGCCACCCCTAGTGCCAGTCGGATTAATCACATAGCATTGCTATTTTGTTTGCTGTCTCTGTAGAACAGAAAGACGTTTGTTAAAGCGGTAGTTGTAAAGTCATTTTAGAATTTGTACTATAATTTCACGAGAGGATGTTATAAATGATGAAAGATCCAAGAAATGGTCCTGAAAACATGTTAGATTTCAAATGATTCAATGAAACTTTGAAAGTGATATGAGTGATAAATGTGCGTTTGGCGGCTGATTTACAGTAAACCGTAGCTTTTTCTTCAACAACAATTATTTCAATTATCGTTTATTTGCGATAAAAATTGTGTGAAGTACTTCTTACCTTTGTTAAATTTGCTTTTAATGTTCGTCTGAATGTACCTCACAGAAAGAAAAAAAGTTTTTTTTCGAAAGAAATGAATATTGCGTCTGCTTTATCGATGACGAATTATTAACAGCGTCCATTGCTATGCTTTGCCAGGTGTGTTTCTATTCTAATCAAAAATTTTATTATTTACATGTTTCTGAGTCATCATTGTGTCTTTCTGTACTTTACAGGAAAAAAGAAAAAAACATTTCTACATATCATGCACTTGCGCTTGAGTAATTATTGAAAACGTAACACGTTTAGTCAAATATACACATCGATGTTTTGTTTTAGATCTGAATTTGTGTGTAAAAAAGAGACGATGATAACAATGACATACTGCGTAATGTATTACTCATTGCCATCGCCGTTTCGTCGTTGAGATAAAAATGAAAAAACTTATTAAGTAATACTTCTAGGAGTAGAAAAAAACGAGCTAAAGGTTGATTAGGTAATCATTGTTTGAGAACTGTTATTTCCACCAATTGTCTTCAGGCACAGATGCGTATGTATACGTGACTGCAGATGAAGGATAGTCTTGTAGGGAACTGTAGCCTGTTCGATAGGCGCACTAAATGGCGAAAAACTATCAGTTGTTATACTTATTATTAATTACCAGTCTTATTTCAGAAACTAGTAGATCATTATCTGTTTGTAATTAGTAACAATGGGAAACAACAACAGCAGTCGAGTTGTTTTAACATTTGATCGACTTAATTCAAATTTCCTTGCCGGTGAACTTGTTTCTGGCTCTGTACAATTTGAAATGCTTGAACAATTTGATAAAGTACATGCAGTCTATCTCGAAATTGTTGGAGAAGCAGGTTATACTACTGAAGAGCGTCGAACAATCACCGTCGATGCAAAACAAAAAGTAGAAATCTATGCCAAAAATCATAATGTATTATTTCTTAAGACTCGAATAACAGTTAAACGACGAGAAGCTGGTGAACAAAACCTTCCACTTGTACCGGGTATAATATATAACTGGCCGTTTCAAGTTCAATTGCCTCAGCATTTACCACCAACATTACATGAAGTAGACTATCCATATATAAAGTATTATATTCAAAGTGTTATTGATAGACCATGGTATAAACGAAATTCAGAATGGAAACATGCACTAAGTATCTTTCCAGATATGAACTTGCAATATATTCCAGACGTGCAACAACTTGCACAATTTAGTAATGCCAACCGTGAAGAAATTGATATACAGATTATATTCCCAAAATTAGGTTATGTGCCAAATGAAACACTTGTATCAACAATAGAAATAAAAAATCCAAATCAGATTACGATTAAACATATCCAGATATTTTTATATCAACACTACCGGATACAAAATAATGCACGTACTAATATTATATTTTCTAGTACTATACCGGACATTCAAAAATTCAATGATGTTCAGATTTCTAAACCATTTTCTTTTGTTGTATCAAGTGTCAATTTGCCACCAACGTCGAATTACATTGGAGGAATAGATCAAGCTATCACTGTTAATGTCAGCTATGAGTTAAGATTTGTGATTAAAGGACAGGAACCGAATCTGTGGGATCGTGTATCAGGCTACTTTTCAAGTATTCCTGTTAAACAACTCTCCAGTGATATAAATATTTCTGTACCAATTACAATTGGGACGTTTCCACATCAGCAGTATTCTCCGAATGATGGTGCATCCTCATCTGCTCAATTTCTTTTAACACCAAGTGCGCCTAGCGAAGAAGATTTACCGCCAAGCTACGAATCTTTAGTACATAATTCGTCAGTAAAAACACCAATCTGAACATAACAATAAAACTGTTGATACTACTATTATAAGTCGTTAAATCAATTATTATTTATTTAATTTAACCAATAACTCTTTTTTGAAGATTTTCAGACATCTTTATATTGACTATTTTTCAGTTTTTTTCATTCACCGTTTTTTCATTGTCTAACACTCAAAGTTTTTGTAATTCTTTTCATGTGTGATGCGGTTGCAATAACGTTATGACATTTGCTTGAAAATAATACTTCTTGTCATTGATCGAAGTTTGGAATATCATCACACTACACTGTATTCTGATCGTGGATCATAGAATTTCTTGTAGAGACCAAGTTCACAACGACCACTAGAATGCAAATTTTAGTTAGCTTTCCTTACACCATAGACTACCTTTCTATTTGTTCCTATCAGCCTTTTAAAAGTATTTTTGGATACGTTTTTTAAGGTAAGGTTCAATGAATTGCTTATCAATTCGCAGGAAATGTCGAGTTTCACATGTTCATAACTTTTTTGATTATCAACATCTTTTGACGACGTTACTATTAATTTTATCTTCAAGCAAACTTCATTCCTTCTATAAAACATCAATCAGACTTATAGTGGTTATTTACTCATAATTAGAATTTAAAATGTTAATTGCATCGTCAAAACATTCAATAGCCAGACAAACGGTTATTGTCTAATGGGGTGGTGTTGGTAAAACGTCTTTGGTATTTTTTCATATTAAACCTAACAACTTTTTCACTTGAGCCTGGTTTCAAGTTAACTTTATTAAACTCGAAGCTGTCGCTCGAAACTGATCCTGAACTTTTGCTTATAAGGCTCCGGAAAGGTTTTTAAAAGATCCTTTATTCCGAGGAAAGTCTGGCCTATAAAATGAGACCACTCCCAGCTCTCCATGTCCTTCCTTGAAAAAGTTATGCAGTTTCTCAGTTTTTCCTTCAAAGTCTAGAAAATCTCAGTTTTTCAGTTTCGTAAATTTTTCTCTCCTTGTCTATGCATTTAAAACTTTTTCTTAGAAATAGTATGATAGAAGAAAGTGTGCTTTTCAAAATGCGAGCTATGGCAGCTAATCGAGCAATCATTCCGTCGCTGCTGACATTTGGAATTCGATTCACTTTAGCTTCACATAAACAATGCTGCTCGCGGTAGAGCTCAAAGTTTACCTCATGATCGAATGACGTCATCTTGTTATTGTTAAGTATGCCATAGACAATCATTGAGACGATCATTGATAAAAACAGGTGGTGAAGGTAAACTCGCCGATCTGCTTTTCGAATTTCTGCTTTGAAATTTTGACAAGTCGAAACTGCAGCGGAATTTCTGCGAATTTAGAAATAATTTTAGAAACAATTTTGGAATTTTGACAGCGTTGTCGAAATTCCAATACCGTCAAAAGTAATGTCATCACTTAATTAATGTAATCAAAGTAATATCATAATCAGAAATTAGTTTAATAGGGGTGGGTGAAAGATGAGCACGAAGAAACTTGAGCACGGAAAGATGAGCACGGACAGATGAGCACGGGAAAGTTGAGCACTGGGAAATATGGGTACTAGGAAACATGAGCACAAATTTATAGTTTATCCATTAAATTTTTTGTATCATAAACAGTTGAAAAAATTTAAGAGAAAGTTAATTTAATCAATTTATTTAATATACTGTTGTTGAAAAGTCATCAATATAGGAATTTTAATAATTTGTTGAAAACAAACAGT